TTATTTAACATCTAATCCATTTTTCAGAATATGAGGAGCTAGGAGTTGAGGGAAAAGGTTGATCCATATCCGATGGATATAATGATTTTTATCTACTGAACAAAAACAATAGTAATATAATAATTAATTAGTAACCCCGTTTTTTGGAGTGACCTCGTGGTCTAGGGGTAGTGAGCCTCAGCCATAAGCTCACTTTTTTGCATGTAACTAAGTCATTTTGCGCGGCTTGTTCGATAACCTTTAATTTGTAACGAATATGTCGACCCAATTTTAATGAACTACACATTGAACTGGCTTTAGTGAAGACGGTTGAAAGCATTTGAAGAGTCGATAGGGACACGACAGTCACTGCATTGTAGTAACCCTTCACCGAGCTGCGAAGTTCCGAGTTAAGCACTATAAAAAAATGATATTTAGAAAAAAATGATAAAAAATCAAAAACAGTGAAAAAAAACAAAAAATCAGTAGAAATCATCCCCCCAGACGAGATGTGACCCGACTGATCCAGATGTGACCCGACTGATGTGATCCAAAGGAGGATTGATTCAGCAAGCAGTGCAAGGAGCAGCAGGAAGGGTCTCAAGGACAACAACATTCGACTGTTCTGTATCGTTAACAAATTTTGCTTCCCTTTTGGTACAGAAACTACGATATCAATCTCTGGGGATGCTCGTCAGTGACTGCACTGTAGTGACCCTTCAACGAGTTGCGGCATTCCGAGTTCAACACTTTTTTAATACGGATATTGAACGATCCATGAATGTTATAATACTTTTAGCACTACTATTTATGCTACCCGTATTAATTTTCCTTTAGCATTCTTCAAATAGACGGTAAACTTGAGGCTCATAGTTTCGTATAGGGAAATATTATCATTAAAGTAGCAAGCTTGAAATCACTTTGGAACAAGCTTGAATGCGGGATAAATTATTGGTTATATCAAACTGACGACTTTTGTGTTATTAGGTATCATGTGATTGCTTCATAGCATTTTGTTTTTGAAAAGACGAGTTTATCGTTGCCTGAAAAAAGTTTGCTCAAATGTTTGGGACCATGTATATGTCTTCTCGTGATGCTTCTGTAAAAAATCATAAAGCTGCACATTAAAACAAGAATAGCCTATTACTGTTCTAGTAACACAGATGTTCCGACCACAATCTCAAAAAAATATGTTTTTTTTCTTCAAGTTAGTGTCTTTTCTTGTACGTCGTGTGATGATTGAACTATACAAAAATTTAGTAGATTAAGCATAAACGGCTAAAATTAGGTTGAAAAGAAAAACAAAACAGACGGAAAGATTTCAACAGAAATTTTTCAAAGATAGCCGGTTACTGTGCAAGTAGCTCATAATGCTCCAACTGCAGTTTCAAAAATAACACAGTTTTGTTATTCAATTTAGTGTTGTTTTGTTCTGCGTGGCGCGATAAAAACGATCTGCACAAAAAAGCTAGAACTTAAGCATATTTGATAGGAATTGTAAAGTAGACCAATTGGAATTTTTTTTTTGTAAAAACAACAAATAATCAAGCAAAAAATCAATAAAAAAATCAAAGTTTTTTTGATTGCCAAAATGGCTTTGAAAATTCCAAACGAACACTTTAATGGCGGAAAACTAAGTTTCCATGGCCTCATTTAAGCATAGATGAGCTTCTGTTAGCAAAACGCTATTAAAAAAAAAACGACTCTCGCTCATTTTATTCCCTCAAATTTGGACAAAAGAAAAAAACCTGGTTTCTCCATACTGGTACTTGTATTCGGGCATGTTGTTTTCAGAAAATTTAAATGTTGTTCGGGACAATTGAAAGGGCTAAATGATGTACGACTAGATCCATTCATGCTAGGTCCCTTTGGTCTACCAAAGTTTTTGAAGTTTGTCTAACTGTCTCGCTAAGTTCAATCCATTGTTTGCTTAATTTCACTCATGTTAAATCCACTATTCTACTGCATAAAGGAAAAGACCATGTACCCTTTAATCTCCTGCTTAGTTTTCCTGAGGATTAAATTCCCCTCAATCCTCATTTCAAAGTGCGGTGCCTGTTTTCTTGTTTCCGATGGTAAGAGCTGGTTAGCTGGTATTTTTTGGTGTTAAACCCGAAGTTTTTTATGAAGTTTTTGAGCCTAAACACCGAAAGGCCAATTTAAGGTGATCTCGAGGAGTTCACGGGTCAATCTCTTAGTTTTTAAAAAAAGCCTTTCATAAGAGACCTACCAACTAAATTCCATCCATTAACCCTGTTTCCCAAATTTTTCCCGTTTTTGAGGTCCATTTTGACTTTTTCCACGGGAAAGGGCTATGAACATCGGAAAGAATCTCAAGCGCTTTTTTTTTCGGGGCTAGTATTCAGTGTTTTATTTCTCGTTCAACCGCCGATATGTTCAAAGTTTTATACATGATATATCTTGCCACTAAGTATCAAATTGACAAATTTTGAATCCCTGCGTTTGTTGAGAGCTGAGAAATGGCGTGCGGAAGTCGAAGTGGGAGCTATTTACCTAAGGCATAAAACCGGAAGAAGGGTACCAGGGGTCTGGGGTTATAATCTTAAGCACCATTCGACTAGGTTTTCATCAGACTAAATTTTGGCTCAAAGGGTGATTTGCACTATGGGGAAGATTTTTCAATGAGCCAAGTTTTTTCAACGCCAGGTCAAATCATCTCTTGTATACTCCTTTTGAGTTCCATAAAGTTTGCTTTCTAATTTAACGTTTATGGTGAGTGATTGGGAGGTGGAATGCGTTCAAATTTAAAGCTAAGCACTTACTCTCAATTTTCCTCACAAAAAATCAATTTATCAGTCCTTAATATTGAAGTAGAAAATTTTTAATACTTTTGTCGATCATCACGACGTTAAGTTCTATGAAAGGTAGGTTGAACCCTGTATTTTAACTGAGATTTAACAATCCTTTTCGGCCGTAAAGCTTCTCATTATTCTTTTGGGTTAAGGAATTTATACAGCAACAGTAAAACTGTTCTGAGAGATCAAAGCAAAACCCTTAGCTTAGGCAATATTCACGGTTATGTTAAACAACGCGGAGCCGGTTGGACGCGTTTAGAGCAGGTTGCTATACTAAGTTTTATACCGAACCTTTGAGACAACGCTGACTTAGTTATAACCTTAGTTGCGAGGCAAGTGAAGAGCAACGAGTCGTTATATTTAGCGACCCTCTCCTGAAGCTACTAACCGCTGAGACCCGACGGTAGTTATGTGACTGTATGGGTTTGACCACGGTTAAGTCTCTCGACAACACCTAGGATAGCGACACTTTAATTCCCTTTACTCACCGGCCAGTTTTCATTGAGTGCGCCCGCCTCAAGTCAATCGATTTCACTGGAATGCAATCAATTTTCGCTCACTGGGAAACAGTCCGCTCCCACGCACCTTCAGATAACATTTAGAGGCATCAACGCAAGCAGCCGTCCCACTCTCAAACTTTTTATTTCTCCCGCTGGATCCTAATTATCGTTATTTTGGAGCGGATTTCTCCGAAACGATGTAAATTTTATGGCAGAAATCTACGGTGTGCATATAATGAGTATCATGAAGACCAGGATGGCCCTCGAAGGAACTATATTGATGGACAAGACAACGGTAAAAGGGGCAGAGCCAATTAGTATCTATTACTGTGTTTAGTGCGTCTTATCTATTACTGCGTCTTGTTAGGGGGATGCGTCTGTGGTGTACTTAGGTAGGTAAAGAATTAACAGTTCTACAATAATATTTGAAATTTTCCAGCACTTTGACAGTAGAAGGTCTCTTATTTGTTTTCTATGGGTTGTTTATTGTCTGCTCGGAAGTAAACGTTCGTGAAAATACTGCAGAAAAATTTAATTTACAAAAACGCTGATACAGTAAGAAAAATTCAATAAACAGAGTAGATGTTTTTAAAGCTTTTTTAAATATGCTTTCACAGCAAGTGTTAAAACTTTCCAAAAAGACGACCAGCTCCGATTTCGGGTTTGATGTTGTTTTCTCCAAGAAGGGGAGGGTTGGGTGGGTCAATGACTTTCATGAATTTCTTCCCTTTTTTCTTGTTTTCACCTGGATCTTTTTTCCCGCTGCAAAAAGTGCAACAAGCACACGTACAAGCTAGAATTATCAAGGTACAGCAAGCCAAAAGCCAAAGAGGAATCATTTTTTCCAAAAGTATAGACCTGGCACAACATTTCAGCCTTCCAGAGCTGTCAAAGTCTTCAAAATGCATCTCAAGTTCGTCATACGTTTCGTAAGTACTAATGTTGAAAAATGATCGACTTTTCGGACAACAATCACTGCCACTGCCTATTCGTCTCCAGCTAATCTCATCTCGGTTTACGTAAAGTGCTTTGGCGAGACTGCCAGATAGTTGGGGCCTACAAAAAGCGAGGAGAACAAAACTGAGAACTAGCAAAATCAAAAACACTGCATTGACTATCATTCCCAAAATATAGATAGTATTCAGATGTTTCTCTGATAGGCAACAATGCAAGGCAATTACGGAACCTTCTGTGAAGAAAATAAGAACTCCCAGTAAAATCCCGAATAGCCATACCAACTGCCATCTGTGTAATTGATTGATGTCGTATTTGTCGAAATAACTGCAAATGCTGACGGCATATCCGAAAATAATGGCTCCGACTACGACGCCAAAAAAGTGCAAAACTAACATGCACGATGCTCGCAAACATGATTTGATCATAATGTTAAACGTGATTAAAACAAATTTCAAAGCTTATGAACAAATTGCTGATCTAAAATTTTTCAACTATCGCTTAAAATGTATACGGATTGTTTCCCTGAAATTCATTTGATGTGCTTTTACATTCTTTGATTGTTTTTGACACAAGCTTATGCGCATGGTCTCGAAATTTTTAAAAACTGGGTCTCAAATAGAAGGGTCTCAAATGAAATGATATTTTGACCGATCGTGACTCCACTATTTTTTGAGATGTTTAGGCTTGACAAGAAAACCTTGACAGTTTTTGGTTCAAAAACCGGTTGCTTTATATAAATTAATTCAGATGATGCTAATAAGAATAAAGCTGATTTAAGTTACAAATTTTATCAACAATGATTTCAAATCTATATTTTCATTATATTCAATAGTATTCAATAATTTAAGGCTACCAGGTGAATCGACAAATGACCTTCAGTTTTTAGTCACGCGAGAAATTACATCTATGACGTGATTACACTTCGGTCCCGGTTCCATGCAAAAAAGCTCTAGCAGCAGAGTCATTAGTACTATATTTGTAATTGTGATTGTAAAATCTAGTATTAGGCGATGGTGGTAAAGGTCTGTACATTGCTGGATTTGACATCATATGACTACCCGGTTGTCGAAGCGAACCCCCGTAAAAACTAGCCGCTCTTTGAGGGGGCGAGTAAGTTGAGCCCGGTCCATTATGGTACCCTTGTTGGGGTATATTATAAGCAGAGTTAGGGTTATATTGACGTTGAATTGGGCTATTAGAAAACTCCCACGTGTTTTCATTACTTTTTATAGTCCCATTACGTTTACTCTCCTCCTTTGCGATATCTTTATTTCTTGGAATCCGTTCTAAAGAGCTCATTGACTTCATACGGCGTCTTATTGTCGAAAACGGAGATTTAACAGCGTCTTTAACTCGACTCCTTGCACTTCGTTTACTCGCCTGTTCCGACGCCTTCTGCTTTGAGTCCTCGCCTCGTTTCGGAATCGGGGGCGGAGGGCCGAGTGGTCGTGACCTGTCGTTCGACTGATGATTATTATTACCCATTGTGAAACTGCCATTCGGGCTTCGTTGCATGCTAGCTGTCGGAGAAATTTGAGGGCTTGTACTGTGATATGCAGCTAATGTAGCTCCTCGTGGAGGTAGATTGGCCGGCGCAAAATTAGGGGGTGACCTTTTAGGTGGTTGACCTTTCGAAAATTCACTGGAAGCGGTAGGAGCTTGCTTATCTTCACTTACAGGCGGCGGCATTTTGGGTCGCAGAGGCCTTAACTCTTTGGGTATATAAACAGCATCACTTGAACTTTTCATTAATTTTTTACCCATAGAAAGTTTCGGTTTCTCAGCCTGAACAAAAGAACTGGGCCTTTGTTGCGTAGCACTAGCATGCACTCTAAGCGAGCTCGCAATTTCGTCGAAACTTTTTCCGAACGTATCTCGCATTGAGTCCGAGTGTTTCATTTGAGATGCATTTTCCGAAGGCCATAATTCTTCGTAATTCGGTGACGTTTTGTAGGATAAAATCGGCTGCGAAGGCAGCTTTTTAATATCGGTGCTGGTGAAATTAGGAGACATTGTCTTTGTACTTCTTGTTATGCTATCAGTTGACACAATACTAATCTTTTGACCTTGACTTTGACTGTCTACTGTGTCAAGTGATGTCTCTGCAATGTGCCGGCGATTTGCACGATTGCGGTTGCTTTGATACAAAACCGAAGTGGAATTACTCCTCGTTGCCGCTGACGTTGTCGGCAGCTGCGAGGATTCGTTTCGGACCGATTCGGCGCCCGCTGTTGTTCCGCTTGTTGCGGTGATAATGCTCTCTTGTGACTGCACGTTGGAAGCTGCATTGTTAATTGAGTCTTGGGATTTTGGAGGGAAAATACTGCTGGTTTGAGACCGGTCGCGATCCCTGTCACTTCGATCTCGACTGGTTGCGGCGGATCGACTGCGGCGCATTTTGGAAGATTCTTTGTTGAACAGAGCCCGCTCGAGACATTGAGTTATGTGCGTCTAGAACACAATCAATTTGAATCAACTTTTTTGTGAGGAATAATCAATTCCTGATGGCATCGTATCTATTCGCCACAGCTTACCCATCTTTTTTATACGAGAAAAGATAATCATTTGAGCCAAAACTCTCAGGTAAAAATTTCCAATGAACATTATTGAAACTTCTGAACCACACTGGAAACTTAACTGATCATGAGCTTAAATGGTCAGTACTAGGAGAGGGATTGGGGGCTAAATGGTGAAAACAGTCGAATTTCAAAACTGACCCAAAGTAAAATATTGTTAAAATGCTATTTTAAAACTCTTGATATCTCTGTAATTTACGGATCTTGTTAACTATTCCTCTCCCTATTGCAATACTAGGACGGGAAAATACTTCTTTTTACCCAGAAAAAAGAAAGAAAGTTTTTACCAATGGATTAAAGAAAAAAAATTCGAACTCTAATAGTTCAATTCTCTTGCAACTTATTACCGTGTTTTTTAAGGATTAAATTCGAGAAACTAGTTAAGATGTGGCTATTTTTTCTAGAAGTATTGCCTGAAACTGGCAATAGTTCATACAAAATAAAGTTTACAATACATTATACAATAGTATTATACTAATTGTAATATTAATACTATTATTATACTTTGCATTATACAATACTTAATACAAAGTTATTTACCTGAAACTGGACCAGGTTTTTGAACATCTCCTCACATCTGGTGCACTGGTAGAGAGTAGCAGGCTGAATGGGCACTGTCTGAACAACAACAACAAAAAACAATATTCAACCAATCAGGGGAATCAGTCGGAAATCAATTGGGAATTAGGAGAGCAGACTCCAATCTGCACATCTGCATGTCAGCTTAGTGTCACCCAGAAAGACAAGCATCTAAGAAAATGGAAAAAAAAAACTATTTTTAGCGCTCAATCATTGTTCATGAAAACATTGTCAGTTGCTCACGTGAAAACAAAATCAGCTGTATTTAACACTTTACACCCTTTTTCAGGTTTTTAAGATTTTTTCAGAGCAAATGACAAAACCTCTAGAAATTTCCGGAGCTTTTTTGAACCACCTTATGTCAAATTTGAGGCGGGTTTTATTAATGCGTTGTTTCTAGCTACTTTGTTTTGACGCGCGTTGTTTTAACCGTTGTTTTTTGTGTTTTTATTTGTGGGGGGGGGGGGGGGGGGCGGTGTCGAAAAGGGTACAAATTGTCTCAAAAATTTGCTCCTTTAAAACGGGCCCAAGGTGCGATGGTCTGTCAATTAGTAGACAGAAAGTTTCATAACTAACCGATGAAGTGAGTGACGTCATGTGGCTGAGATCACTCATAATAGACTGAGTATCTGCACCTCCAACTGATGTGCCCCCCACTCCAGGGGGGAGGTTGTTTGAACCCTGCAGATGATCTGCCACGACTCCTGGAGTTGGTGACGGCTGTTTGGTAGTTATGATTTGCGAAAGCTGCTGGATCTGCGATTCAAGGTCATTGATCTAAACCGTTAAAAAACAAAGTAATTCATTTAGAAAAATCTAGGGTAGTCAACTAGCAATGAAATGAAATAACGCTAAATATTCATTTCAAAAACAATTAAATGATCAGACTGCAAAATAGTGAAAGATGTTCTGACTAACTTTGATTACACACTTCAAACTATTTTGAAAAGTCTTTTTAAAACACCCCCCCCCCCCCCCCCCCCCCACCCGCTTCCTATTGCAATAGGGGGGGGGGGGAATAGTTAACAAGATCCGTGAATTTTAATTACTTACACCGTTATTATTGCAGGTGATCGTCTGTTACATCCGCAATAGATAATACCGCCTAATCGCTACTAAGGGCGTGTCTAATTGATATCGGGGCGCTCTGAGGCCAATTCCAAACGAGAGAGAGAGAAAAAAAACAACATTGAAATGAAAATACACATAAAAAAGAAAGATTGTTGCGTTTAATTCGGTCTGGTGTATTTTGCAACAAAAAGATGGTATTGAAATTTTACAAACTGTCTGTGTTTTTACTGTCATCTTGCGTTTGATTTTTATTTTTTCAAAGCGGAAGCATGTTGAATACTGCGATGTTCAAATGAGTATAAAACATTAGATCATAAACTGTTTAGGAAATAAAAGAAACGCATAATAATAAAACAATGAAAAATGTAAATTTGTCCAATGAAACGGAATTTACGACGCACATTTTTTCAACCGAAAGGACAAAGGATACATTATTTTGCAGGAAAAGGTCGATAATATTTTTTTGCGCTAGAGAGGCTCTAAGCTTTGAACACGCTTCAATCAAGTGTATCAAAGACGCTTCTCGTGAAACCAATTATGTTACAGTTATTGAATTTATCTATTGAACGTAAACGCTTTTTTAGCAGGATCTTGGTTATACGCCTCCAATAGTATATGAATTTCATTGTTAAAAAGGATAAAAAAAGGAAAAGTATCGAGATTTTTTGAAAGAAGCTTCAATCTAATGCAACGATAAATTCTTTTTTCAAATCTGAAAAAAAAATAGTTTTTTTTTCAGATTTGAAAAAAGAATTTAACGTTGCATTAGAATGAAAAAAAAAGATATCATCGGCAGTTTTGCAGACTAAAATGTGGAAAAAAATCGACTGAGGGCTCTATAAATAAACAGAAATTATATGACAGATAACAGAAAAATGAAAACGCAACTAGATCAGATATTTTGAGCTGTTATACGTAATATTTTAGCCAGCTAATGTTTGTCGTGAAAGCTACCACCTTTACTTGAAGAGCGAAATTTTTTGCATAAGGAAACGAACGCCGTAGGAAAGTTGATCTTCGATGACACTAGGAAGGAAACGACGGAGAGCTATGAAAACGGTAAAGAAACGGAAAAATGCTAGAAAGTACAAATGTGCATTCGAAGAAAACGAATTTTGCAAAAAGTTGATGCTACATCAAAACTTTGATGCTATATCAGGGGTGGATCTAGGATTTTCTCGAGGGGGGGGGCGGATTTTCAAAAATAAATCGAAAATTTTGACGACCTTTTTTTTAGGTCGACCAAATTGATTTTTTGAGCTCTCCCAAAGCACTGTTTTGCCCGCAGGCAAAATAAAAAAAAACAGTCAAAAAAGGCGTTTTAGGCACTTTTTGGAAAACTTTGACCAAAAAATTGCGTTTTTTCGGCGCGCGCTCCCCCTCAAAATTAGTAAATATTGGCGCCGAAGGTGCCTTTAGAAAAATTTTAGGGTCGGTCGGTCAAAAGTGGATTTCTGAAAAAGTACCAAAGGGGGGACCCTTTTGGTCAGCAGGGTGTCGAATCCATGAGGGGGGGGGGGGGGGGGGGGGGCAACCGCCCCCTCCCCCTAAATCCGCCCCTGTGCTATATACAACATTAATTTTCTGTAAAAATTTAGCAACAGCGTATCAGATTGAATTACTTTTACTCGTTTTCCTTTCTTAGATATCAGGCAGCTACGTATGCAGCTAGATATAACTGTTTTTGTTTTGGCATCAAAATAAGTGACTTGCATGGGAAGAAAATGACCTTAAGATATTATGCTTTCAAACTCGCTTATTTCATTTAAAAACTTTTTTGAGAAGGGTACGGAGAATAAAATTAACAAATTGATATTGCGCTTGCTTAAATACTCTTTGAATAAATTGAAAGTTGAATCACGTTAGTTGAATAACAAAGAAACAAGACTGCTCGTATCAGGGCGAAGCCCTGAATGTTCCGACTGCCTTTTAAGGTTTATGGAGCAGCAGTAAAAGCATAAAAAAATTAATTGAAATAAAACAAAATGAAAATTTTTTCTAAAACTTGATTTTTTTTGTGAAAACCATCCCCCCACACGCCATATAAAGTACAAAAAGAGAAATTTCGTTCCTTGTAACAAATCAATTATGGCAAATAAGCTTCGTTCAACCAATTTGGAACGATTTATAAGACGGATTAAATCTCCGCTTACGCGTTAATAGCGCGAATTATATCGCGCGTTAATTGTCCCAAATTGGTCAAAATGGCAATCTTTAAACCCTCATAACTCTACGAAAAATGATCACAGGTGAAATATCTTTTCAAATTTAAGCTCAAGACAACAAACTTTTGAATGATATAAAAAAATTTCGTGAAAAATGGCTAGGATAAAAGTCGAAATTTGTCTGAAGAAAAAAAACCCACCCCGAGCACAAATATTCCGTTACTTTCGTATCGAAAGTCGGAACAATAATTACATTTTTTAAAAATCATCACAAAAACTACCAGAAAATAATTTCGGTAAAAACAATATCAGACTAATAACTTTACTTTATACGATTGTTGCTGAACAATCTTTGGGTCTTATACACTAAACGGCCCAAATTCATTATTTCTACATCTCTTGAACTGAAATTATTGTGAATGAGATTGATTGGCGAATTAGACCTTTCCATCGATATTTTTTGCCATTTCAATTGAAATTTCAAGCAGATAAAATTATTAGCCGAAATGATAAAAAAAATTGAATTTTGTTTTTAAAAAGCCATTTTACTAAATTTTGCTGTTCTGGACAAGGTTTCACAAGTGATCCAAAATTTGACTCAAAGTTCCACTTTTTCGGCAATTTTGAAATATTTTTATCTGCTAAAAAAGTTGATCGGAATGCTTGACCGTGTAACTTGAATTTGATTAGCTAAAATCACCCAATCAAATTTGATCGCATAATTTTCAGCTAACAATGTAGAAAAATTGATTTGGGCCGTTTAGTGAATAAGACCCCAATCTTTTGTCAGTCTTCAGAAATTCGAAAATCCAATTTATTTTTTTCTCTCAATTTTTCTATTCCATAATCTTTTCACGACAGTTTTACAATGAGTTCTTTCGAACTTTTAAAATCCGGTTCTTGACTGGAAAACGTCAATAAAACGTATCAATCTAGCTCTTAAAAATACATTTAGAAATTGAAAAAACTCCAAATTGATTTTTTTTCACTTTCAGTGATTGGAACAGCGAGCTACAAAGGTGAAACGGTTAAAAAATGAGAGTGAACAAGGGTCATTTTTTTTTTAAAAACAACTTGAGTCGACAAAAAGATGAAAAGTACGGGAAAAAATTGCGGAATCCGGAACAGATTGTAGAGTCCATAAATAAATTATATTATATCTGCATAGTAAAAACTAATTTATTGCGAAATCTGCAAGTGTAAGCGAAATCCGTAACATTTTATTGGAATACGACAATTGCAAGCGGAACCCGCAAAATTTAAGCGAAATACGCAAATTTTTAGTAAAATCCATTTACAATTGCGGAATCCGTTAACAAATTGCCCAGAATCCGGAATAACAAGCTATATTTGCTCATTGCAGAATTCGCGACAAAACTTATTTTCCAAGTATTTGAGCGCGGAGTTCACGGAAATTTTAAAAGTGGAAATTGCTTCCGTTTTTGAACAATTTCAAAAATAAGTCTCTGTATTCCAGTTACCTAAAACATCCAATTGGTCGAATATCCAGTGCACAGCTTGGGCTCCGGATAAAATTTGAATAATTTCCTTAATAGTTTTGCAAGCCATTCTTCGAACTTATGCAGGCCAGTGTTCTCAACACTAATTACAAATCGTTTTATAACAAGTCTGAATAAAACAAGGCTGCTTGTATCAAGCAAAACCTTATTTGTTTTGACTGCTTTGAGAGTATTTGAAGTAGTTTTTCTTCAAAAAATAAGAGATAAAGTTTATATTTTTTACATTCCCTCATCTCTCCCACGCAACTTCAACTACTAAACTATAGTTTTGGCATCCTGTAACGCACTATTTGGATGAATAGCATTAAATATCCCAAATTGGAAAAACCCCATTGTAGTTTTACGAATTATGGTATGTAAAAAGAACTGTTTAATTTTGAGCTGAGGGCATTAACATTTGTAAGATGCTACAAGAAGTTTTGTCAATAATTGTTCGCAAACAATTTTATGGGGAAAAACTACGCCAGAACTTACATTAGAAAGTCAGATCCCAACAGTCTGAAAAATCTGTAGGTCGCATGACTTTATCGGGATTATGTTGAGATAATTACTTTAGATAGATTTCAGTCGAATTGCATTTTCATGACGAAAACGAAATTGAAATTTTTAAATTGATCCATCATTAAAAACTTGCAGAGTCACAACTGGTTTTAAGCATTTTTTGTAAATTTTTTGCTTTTTGCTTGAAACGTACGTTTTTTGTTTTCTTTATTCAAAAATCGGAACAACAAAAATGAGTATAATCACTACGTTTTTTTTCATGCCATTCTATTCTCATGACAGTTTAAATTGAAAATGCGACACCCGCGTCGAGGTCCGCGACTTAAGAAAGACTTTGTAAGTCACGCCCCGCGTACCGCTTTCAGACTGGATTTCGCAGCCGCGCCGCGTGCTTAAGTCGCGCCGTCAGTCTTTTCTTAAGTCGCGCCGTCAGTCGGCAATAAAATGATGATGTGCCAAATTAAAACTTTACTTTGAGCCCTTCCAAAGATTGAAATACGAAAGATTGAGCAAATTAATGACTATGAAATTTTGAATACAAACCATATGATGGAACTCACTAGGCTCATAATGATTAATAAACTAGTCAGATAAAGCTTCGCCTCGATTTAAATTTATTTTTGTTTTTTTTTAACTAAAAGGTAAACAGTAATCACTGGTACATACATGTAATGTATAATCAATCAATCGAAGAGCAGAGATGATGAAAATCTACAATGACACGAGAAGTTGTGTTTGCCAATAAGAGCAATGGACTTACCAAGTCATCGTAGTAGGCTTGCTGTGAATTAAATAGTGGTCATTTTCCGGTCCATTTAAAGAGTTGTATAACCTCTGTAATTTTTAACAAATGATTTGACAGCTAAATGATTGTTAAATTTTTGAACAGCTTTGTGAGCTTTGGAACTTTGACTTCGAACCAGCTAAAAATTGTGTTATTTATTTTATCGGAGGCGGAGCATTGAGCAGAATGGTACAAGAGCAGAACACTAAAAAAATATTACAAATACAACAGTGAACACTCTCTCCTAGTGGCCCGCGTTTTCATAAATTTGACTCTGTGGACTGGAAAGCGCGCAACATGTATCAGCTTCATCGCATCCTACATATCGTTGTGCACTTTAATTAGACCCTTTCTTCTGCTTTTGAACCATTCTTCTCTAAGACCGCCCTCCATTCTATTGTGCTGAAAGGATTCGCATCTCATATGGTCGAAATGTTATAGACAGGTCAAAGAGTTTACAACTAGTTCCATACCATTAGCTCTCATTGCGGGAATCGATTAACAGGAACGACTAACATGAACGCACCAAAAAGGTGTTGTTTTGTTACATAACATCAGTTTCAAAATAAATCACAGATGCATCTGACCACGCTAATTCATAATCAAACACCGTTTTTGTTTCAATCACTCTCGAAAGTGGGTAAGAACTCTGGTTCAGGTTGTCTTTTTTCTACGCAATTTACAATACCTCAAAGCAAGATGTCGCTTCTCCAGTGTGGCGTATCATACTAAAACCTTTTTCAGTTTTGGATCTCTTAAGTATATCCCCCATTTTGCAAAAGGGTGGAATTCGTTATTAGGTATAAAATTCTGATATGCTTAACTGTTGATTTATTTCTTTACAGGTGGGATAATCTTTACTAGGTACTCGAGGGGGGATATAGTTAAATTTAAAACGTTGTGCACTTGGATATAGTTAAATTTAAAACGTTGTGCATTCTGCTTTTTGTATTTAAAGTTGAAAAGTATAGATTTGAGATAAAAAATTGTTCAAAATTATATTTGTAATTGGAATTACACAGCACTTTTATTGTCTATTCACCCTCGTTTCTGACAGACAATTTCGAGAAAAATGGTGCAATTTACTTTTGAAGTAATCTTTTGAAATTTATCAGCGATTTTCTTAAAAATTTTTGATATAAATTTTACCGTTTTGATTTATCATATAGTTTTCACAGCGCAGTAACAAAAATTGTTGACTGGGAACCGAATTTCAAAACTTGTGATTCATTTTGCTGTTTTTAAATTTTTTTCATTGAATTCCTGTTTTACTGAGAGGCATATAAAATCACCCACTACAGTTGGAAAAAAATCAATGAACGCAAAACGCAAGTACACAAAAAGAGTCTTACTTATTTTTGAAAAAATCCTAACTTTCGAATTTCAAAAAAAAATGATAGCCTTAAAACTCTCCGAAAAGATAATTTTTAATTGACAAAGAACAATTTAGGATTGAAACTTTTTAGAAGAAGTTAGGCCAATTTAAGAAAACTGGATCAATAAAATCAAGTTCTACTTTTAAAAATATAGTTCGGTCACATTTCAGTGTCGATTAAGCGCTAATTGAAACTTTCAAAATTAGTTTTCTTTTTAATAAACCAAACTTTCTCAGCCTTAATGGTCAATTTGTATATATAACGAACTATACTCGATTGCTTTGTTTGCTCGAAATTGGAAAAATACTCAAAACTTTAAAACTGGTTTTTCTTAACACTGGGACAACTCTGTCAAATTTTTTGAAGTCATTCCATTCCAATCACAACTGGAAGAATTTTTCAGCCTTATTGGTAAAATTTTATCGCTTTACTCGCTCGGAATTGGGCTAAATTTCTTAACACTGGAACAAATTTGTCAATGTTTTTCACACTTCTAATTTTCTTAATGATATATCACATGACTCATTACGATGATTAGTTGTGATGCTCAATTTTGCTTGGAAAAAATAAACGAAAAAATAAAACACTCTCAAAAACTAAGTTGTCCTGATTTTCAAGGGCAGACAACAGGGCCGGCAAATTAAGCTCAGCGGCAAAATCAGTATAGACAATGAACAAATTTCCAAAAAAATTAAGATGCAAAAAGCTCGCAGCAAATCTGTTTGAGTGTGTATACAAATAATACCAAAAGGTTGAGGGTATCATTCACCAGCTTTGTATCAAAGCTAACACATTAACTTTTAGTTATACTCATTTTCATTGTAAATTCGATTGATTCTGCCGAACATTTTTACGAGCAATTATTAGTTAAAATAAAAACAGATAAAACAAAATTAAAAGAGCATCTGCCACATTTGACAACAATTGGCACCAAATAATTTTAGACAACATAAACTATGAAAATTTAGTGAGATTCTAAATTTCTATACAACTTTTTTAAGTATGTTTCTCTGTGAAAAAAATTTCCGGAACTATAGAACTTTCTATGACATAATTTTAGATTTTGGACTACAAAAAGCTTAATGAATTGCAAAAAAAAACTTTTTTTTTTATAAAAAAAACTCTACGTATCAGATAAGTAAAGTTTTAAATCCAGAAAAATTTTGCCTTAACCTAAAACAATTTTTCAGAACAAGTTAAAAGATCTCTTCAGAAAAATTGTTAATTGTCTGAAAACGAAAACAAGATGTATAAAATTTCCTCTCTGCTTCAATTCTTTCCAAAGCGCATCGAGTTTTATTTTAACTTTTTTAGGCCAGATAAGAAGTTTTGAACTCTCTCAAAAAAGCATTTTTCTCAATGAAATCTAGGCATCAAGAAAGAACTAAATTTTATAGAAAAATGTTCGTATCAGGGCAAAACGCTGAATGTTCCGAAGGATTTCAATTAACGTTTTCACAGAAAATTTTCAAAAAGATTCATTCTTTTGGTTGAATATCATCCACCCACAAACAATGTAAAGTCAAGATGATAACTACAAAATGATAAAATTACGCCAACTAATTCAATATTTGGATTAATGAGCGTGCCTCAATGCAATTTTGAAGCCGGATTAATTCGTCAATTACATTATGCGCCAATTGAAATTTAGAAAATTTTGCGCAAATTAAGTTTCAAAACCTTGATAGTTTTAAGATAATTTATAGCATAGCCAATATACGGTTTGAAAAGAGTCGCTGAACGCAAAGAAGAAGAAATAATCTGATTTTTTCTGAAAAAATTTCATTTTTTGAATTTCAAAGTAAAAAATATTTAAGTAAAAAATATGTGACCTAGATCATTTTTAGTATGAAAAATATTTTATGACGGTCACTTTTTTCGGTAAAATCAAATCAATTTGAGAAAACTGGACCAATAGGCAGAGTCTTGATTTTTCTAAGAAATTTGAAAATTAAATCCACTTTCGAAATTAGAAGTCAAATTTTTCACAACATTTCCACTTTTGCTGTTTGATAGTGGAGTTCACCTTCCTTTTGTCAGAAGATATGATCTGAACATAGAATGAAATCAAAGTCAAACCACGAAATCTTCATTTGAGGGCGAACAAGTTTCAAGACTTTTCCTGAGAAAAAAAAACAAAAAAAATTATCACGACCTCATAAAAATCTTCACTACGTTCATCGACTCTTTAAAAACTCGAGAGCTTTTTCACGAGAGCTTCTTTTGAGAGATTTTTCAGCAGATAAAAAACTTTTTCGAAAGCTTTTTGAACAGATGAAAAAATTGCCGAAAACAGCTTTAAGAGTTTGAGTTTAAAAATTCAAAGTTTTCCCTGATAAATCAATGAACCTTGAATTCCCATATTTTGAACCAACAAAGACGGAAATGAAAAAATTACAATGAAAGAAATTTAACACAGTGAAGAAAGTGAGATTAATGTGAGTTATATTAATTTTTGTGGTTAGAAGTTTTCAGACATAATCTGCATATGGTCATAGTAATTTTTTACTTCCTTCTTTATTTAAAAGAAATGAAGACGAGGAAGTAGCCAAGATCCATGCATAATTTTTTATTAAGTTTTGAGACCTGAAATTCAAGCTCATTGTGCTGTTTAGGGGGATTTTTCAGCACCCAGAAACAACATTATTAAATAATTTTTTTCTTTTTTAAAATATTTTTGGCTTCATCTGAACTTTTTTGACCCTATAAATTTACCGTTTTATCGCGCAGCTGGATCTCTTCAGTAAGTTGATCAATGACAGTCTGCATTGCGGCGTTATTCTTTCTCAGCCGATCCAACTCTTCGAACAGACTCAAATTCGAACAGCCCCCTTTGTTATCACCACTCCCCACACCTCCCCTCGACCTCGAAGAAAGAGGGAGTCTTTCAATTGGGTCGTCGTCGGACAAATCAGCCGCGAAATTGTTGTCCGGCTCAACGAAGTTGTGAGTCGGCGTTTCTCGAAAATGAATCCTTTTCTTGCTGTTAGTTTCGTTTGTCGGGTTGTTATTGCTTCTGGTTATAAATTGGGGCTGGCTTTCGCTTCTGCTGACCGTTTTAGTCAAGTAAACCTGCGAAAGCAGTGAGTAAAAAAAATCAAAATTTCAAACATTTGCCGGTTGCAAACTGTGCGTCGAAATCGGATGTAAAATAAGCATACATATGATTAAACTTGGCTGGATAAATTTTAATACGACTAATAAAAACACGGTCTAGCGCCCCTGAAAATAATCAGCTCCCTTCAACATTACTTTTTTTAAAGAAACTGCAACTAGTTCTAATAAATCAAACAAAACTTACAAATGACTCCGACAAAGTAAGAAACCTGATACTCTTTAATGTCTGGGTGGCTGACTGAAAATTAGATACGTGAAACGACGTCGTTGTTTTTTCAACCAGACAAAATGCAGTATCTATTTAAAAACACAGTTATTTGTCGCCCAGGTAACTAGTTGATGCATAAAACTGATATGAAAGATTACAGTCGATTGGTAATTTCAATTTATACCAGCGGGAATAAAGATAAGAGTGGTATATATAGTTTATGTTAATTTTGATCATAACAATAACCAGGATGAATTTATATTACTAGCTCTCTGATATTATGAAAAAAGGGCTCAAATTGTCCACTCAATAATCAGGATTGATCGATCTGCCGATGCAAATAGTTTCAGGACAAATTCGCTCAATTTGAACTATATCGATAAATACTTCCAAGGATCAAATTTTTTCAAAATGCTATGATGGCTATTTTATGATTTTTGACAATTTACAACGTGAATTGATTTTTCACAAATGCTTTGATTTCAAATTTGACACCATATGCTCAAAAAATTCCAAACTGCCGTTCAAAAACGAAAAAAAAATCTTTTTGAAACTTAACTTGAAAAACCGCTTCTTAACCTAACTACTTGACTTTTCGGTTATCTAAGCTTTCTTATTTTTGAACTATAAAATATGAGTGCAATAGTTACCTTGTTGGTGTCTTTAGAGGCTAAGGGTAATTCCACGTCTTTTGATGCGCCGATATGACCACGGCTGTAGTCTGAAGTTGAGGGATTAGCTTCCTTAGTTCTTCCCAAAGCCCCCTCTAAGCCTCCTGCTTGCGATTTATCAGCAACCGGTGCTGATTGGAGGAATTTTCCGTCATATTGCAAGTCTTCTTTCACGTAATTCGACCCAAGTACGCTCGGAGCTTTCGTTTCCTGTTGTCGTTTTACATCCGCTGCTTTGAAACTTGACAACTTGGTTAACTTCGGAGCTATATGCGATTCCTCGATACGTATTTCATCGTCGTCAAGTATCCCAGATTCTTTTAAAATATCTCGCTGAAGTTTTGAAATATAGTTTGAATCGCGAGTTTCAATAGCAGTACAAACCGTTGAGCCGCTTGTTGTGGTATCTAAACTGGTTCTACTCTCATTATTTTCTTGGTTTTCATCTTGCAAATTTTTCCTAATTGAATTCGGTGTACTGCTGTTAATTGGTGTAAACTGCGTGTTCAAGTCATATTTATGAGATTGATTGCTTTGTTGTATTTGATTTTGATCAGGTGTTGATAGCTGATTAAATGTTGTTGGGCGTTCCTGGTTAGGGGAGCTTTTTTGTTTATACAAATTGGACGAATTTAAATGGTTGTTCTGGTGCCTGTAACTTGTTTCTCGTTTCGGTTCAGTGAATCTTTGGTAATTTTGCCTATTCTCGTGGGAGTCCCCGGCGCCTGCGAGAATGAATCCCCCATTGCTAATCTTGGAATCGTGTAGTCCTGTTTTACAATCTTGTAGATTCTCTCTCTCGTTAATCGATTCGTCAGCCTTCAATTTCAGGTGCTGGAACAAAAAGGTCTTAATAAAAATGTCTATAATAACCAATTGGCAGGCTAAAATTGCAAATGCGTCTGGTTCAAGAGTGATTTAGTGAATTTCGCTCCTTGCTGGAAACAAAAAAAAGCGCAGTATTTCGATCAATAAAAGGTCGAAATTACTATTGACCGCGTTCTAGTGCAATAAATATTTGGATATGCAATAATCTTTTAATAATTTTGACTTTTTCAATCAGGAAAATGGGAAGAGGAAATTACGTAAATTATGGATACGAAATTTGAAATAGAAACAGGTAATGTGTATCTTACACGTATTGAAATTTTTCAGTGCTTTTCGCCGGCCGACGGAATAGACATTTTTTACCTTTTCCTTGTCTTATTGCCTCTCTTTTTTCCCGTGCTTGTATTTTAACATGGACGGGACGAGCTTTTAGATACTGTTCGCATGGCATAACATTAGAAAAGCATTAAACTTTAGTTTGATAAAGGTCACAAAAAGTAACGCGCATATGCTTGAATTATAAAGCTTTAAATAAAGGAAAATTGTTTCTATGCAAAACAATTTCAAATCTGTCAAAACTTAACAATTCCAAGTTTTGAATTCACAGTCTAAGAAATTTCCATCTTCTTCATTTTTGTTTCTTCGACATTTTAAAAATTCAACTACTAATTATGCTGCTTGTATTTATGCAAGCCGATGCACTGGAATCTCTGCACTGTATCATTCATGTTATACCGATAATGCTTAAAAACGCTGTCTCAAATTTCAATGGCCAAACAGGGAGAAAATTTTTAAATCAATCTCTTTCGGTTGGAAATTGAGGTGAACTAACAGTTTGTACTTTTTTGCCTTGAAAATACATTTTCAATGTACACTTCAGGCCTGTAGAGTTGCCTTGTATAGTTATAATCGATTGATAAAAACGGCTGTTCATTAAGAAGAGGTCTCATAACGTATAATTTTTCAAGTGTACGACTTTGTATATCAATTGAGTTTATGCGCTGCAATCAGCGTGCGTTCGAGCCATTAAGGGTTGACGGTGTGGCTGATAACTATTTCTGTGCTACTACAAGTTTTGCTTCCCAGTTTTTCAAATTTTTGGTGCTATTACGTATAATTACTGAAGTTTATACTGAAAGAGATCTATACTAAGAGAAAAAAACGTCATCAAATTGAATCGATGAAATAAGAATTTGACGCCTCGAGGCAATCGATAGTAAATGTAGTTACTTGCTACGTCACTTGAAAAAAGTTTTCAAAAAAAATTGAGAATAACATGTTAAAATTTGACAGATTCATTTTCAATAATTCAAAATTGAAGACCAAAACGCACTATTCACCACTCCACTATTCACTATAACTTCACGAAATAAAGGCGGAGAACTATGGTTTAGGGCGTTATTTTTTACGCCGACTTTAACGTTCTCAAAAACATTTAGTTAATTTGTAGGGAGTACATCATGGTACTCGGTGTAGAATTCAGGGAGTGCTCCTCTAGGTCCGTTCACGCACTCTAACTTAACGACACCGCAAAGTGGTCCCTATGAAAATGAATTCTGCGGGGCAACCGTGATTCACTACTATCCACAATCCCGAAAGAGTTAAGTTGGTGGCTACTATTCTGTACAGTAATCTGTTACTTGCCCCTCTTTATACTGCTCTTGAGGCTGCCTTGGTCACTCTCGCCGATCGCAAGAATTTCCAGTACTAATCAAATTCGGATAAATATTGGTCCAATTACAGAAAGCTCTAGGTGACCTGAATATAATCTAGTAATCTAATCAAAAGGAAAGGGTCCGCGATCAATCAACACAATTGCCTAATTACAATTCGATTTCCAAATAACTTAGCCAACAATTGTCTTTTTTCTAGAGAATTCTAATTATTGATTTACCCACAGTAATTCCACACAATCACTCAGTCCGACCTGCTAAAATTGATAGTGTCACTAAGGATCACTATTCTTTCGAGGTATTTTGACTGATCTCTTTACTTCGCTATTCTTGGTTCTCTAACTATTGAGAACCCAACTAATCTCACAACTAGTTAACTCTCTCTTTAGCAATTCTTGTTCTCTAACTAACTGAGAACCAATCGTTCGCTCTCACAGCACAATTGTTCTCTAACTAACGAGAACCAATTGCTCTCTCTAGTAATTCACAGCGTTCTGCCTAAGGGTAGGCTAATTTCTTTTCTCTATTCTACTTGTATATTTGAGTTTTAGTTATAGTTAGAGTTATGTCGTCCCTACAAGTCCTGACATTTTCTTCGGTACCCTTTTCGTAAGGTCTTATTTGAATTCTTCCTCTGAAGCCACTAGTCTTAAGTTCCAAGTTCATTATAGGCATCTCTAACTAAGTTGTGCAAATATCAAGTCCAAATTCACCTCAAAACCGAGTTATTTTTAATTAACTAACTGTTTACTCTGCTACTTAGCTTAATGACGAATCAATCTTACGCTCATGTTGCTATAGCATGCAATACAGTAGAATCCCCAATTCTACAGTCTTCCCTTTTAATTTATTTTTCTACCGAATAATGCTGTTCAACGCTTGGGATTAAACAATTCTTCAACGTTTCTGATTAAATTATTACAATTGAGTCTATCTTTTATTTAAGTTATTTTTTATTTCGTTATAATAATTGATGTTCTCTCCCTCGGAGGTCTCTTCCTCACAATAGTCTCTCCATCCGTCCTCGGATGCCAGCGAGGACTTCCTCGAAAGGGGTAGTCCCCGTGTTGACGCGCCGTCGACGTCCACGTGGGGTGGATAGCACTCCCAAACTGCTGTCTCCTACCAACGTATGGCAGCCTCAGGGTAGGGATAGGGACGATTTCCTCTGGGTGATCGGGGTCCCCTCACACACTTGTGTTCTTAACAGCGACGACTCTTCCTACCTTCGGTTCAGTCGTTGGGGGCATCCCCCACTTCTTGCGGACTTAACTCATGCCTCTTCCCATCAATGGTGTACTCGTCGAGCCGCTCGCTTCGGTTATCCTCGAGGTACTCGTTTCGTCAAACATTGGCGTTTCGGGAATCCTTGGGGACAGATAGATTTGCCCGCTGAACGAATCGTATCCCATCGATCCCTGGGGGTAACTAGCTAGTTTAGTCCTCGCTTTTTCGTAGGGCGTATCGTATCGCGGTGGGGGAACTCTTTCGTCCATCCTTCTCATCCCGCACCAATTGTAATTGTCCGACCAGTCTCGTCGGCGTCGTCTAATAATATTTCTCGCTTATCCCTCCCTCTTTGAAGCACATCGGCGGTAGGTGTAAATTAGGACTGCTAACACTATCAATACTATCATAATCTCAGCCACATACTGGACCGGTCCACTGCGTGCCGCTTGCCAGTGGAAAGGCGCATGTTTCCTCAATATCTGGTCCGCAAAAGGTTTGGCGATCTCTGCTAGGGCCTCTTGGTCCATTGACCCTTCGGGAAACTGAATGAGATTGAGCCGAAGTGCTTCCACCATCTCACTCTGCGCCTGCTCTCGTAAAACCTCCGGTATCATCACACCCGGCAAGTTCCTCTCCGCTTCTTTCAATGTGGCAAACAAGGCTCGGATAAGCGGGTGCTGCTGTATTGTGATGGTTAACCCCGTTTCGTACTGGCATCTTCTCGGATCAAGTACTAGTACCATAGCACCGTCCGGGGTCTCGATACGCCATCGCAGCTTGGTCGGAGTAACCAGCTTCGACAGCCCCTTGTCGTCTCTCCGCTCTCTTTTGCTCCTCTGCAGTAATTGAACAACTTATAGTCAGCATCCCGCGAGGTGACCAGGTAAGTTGATTCCTCTAAGTAAATAGCCAAGGGGTCTCGGGCAGCACCACCACTTCTTGGGGGCATAGCTTTAGCGCAGTCGTGGGCAAATTGAAAAATAAGCTGGCCAAACATGACGACGCGCTGCTTCGTGACATTGCAAAAGGTCGGAAACACAGTTTCAGGCGGCTGTTTCCGCTACAATGCGCCGCAATCATATCGCCTGATACTTTGGCAAAGTTGTCTCGTCGCTCGGGGACCAACGAGTGGGTGTTAGAAAACTTGTAATGCGTCGCCGTAGATCCCTCTTCCGCGGTTTGAGGCAACGAGTTTGCTCGATAGACCACGTGTAGACCTGTCCTGTGGTGCACCGGGATATTGATCAACACGTTTATCCCTGAGTCCGTAATTACTGTCGATTGGACTAGCTCAAAGCCGTAGTAAGTCATCAACTCTGCCCTTGGAATGGCTTCCTGCATCCCATCTAAGCGAATACCATCTAAAATACTCGTTCAGACTTCCGGGGGTACCAAGGTTGCGGGCACGTATCCTCGTGTCAAGGAGCTCAGAGCATCGTCCAGGATATAGCCGTAGTTGTGAACGGCCATCTTGAAAGCCGTTAACTCCGCCCTGACCGAGTCCATAGTCTGTGAGTGATTCGGTACCACAGTAGAGAACTTCACGGACTGACTATACAGCGATTTCCACTTTTAGTTATCGCACGCGCTCTTCCTCCTCCGCTGGTCGTCCGTTCCTCCAAGTAACTGTTGTAGCAGTCCACGGAAGAGCTCGAAGTTAGCATTTGAATCGTGGGATTTTATTTTCAATTGGGTCTGAGTCTTGTTCAGGGAGTGGCCCAAAAAGTGCAGCTTCATTCCGGTTTCCAACACTATCGTCCGAACAGCCCAGTCAGAAACGATGCTTCGTTCCCCAGCCTATTCATTGCTGAGTTGTCTCCACAAAAGCAAAAGAAGGAGAAGAATTGGCAAAAACCTTCCAGGATTGGAGCAAGGACAATTGCTGCTGCGACTCTGCCCAACGCCAGTTTGATCTATCTTTTGTCCCGTGCCGCCGCTCTCTCTCGGTTGTCAACGAAAGTCGTCACTCGCTTCCTCATCTCCGCCAGGACTGTATCGATTTCCTCAATCTCATACTCTATACCCTTGAACACGAGGTAGGTAATGTTAACAAGGTCACTGGTAGTTAGGGAGTCACCACAAATCTTCATTTTATGTTCCACC